GGATAAAAGGAAGTACTTCTTCACCCAAAGAGTGATTAACACATGGAATTCACTGCCACAGGAGGTGGTGGTGGCTACAAGCATGGACGGCTTCAAAAGGGAATTAGATAAGCATATGGAGCAGAGGTCCATCAGTGGCTATTAGCCACAAAGTATAGATAGGGGCTCTGGCGCAAGTGCTTGGGGGGGTCAACAGTGGGAGGGCTTCTAATAACCTGGCCCCACTGGTGGACCTCCTGATGGCACTGGTATTTCTGGCCATTGTGTGACACAGAGTGTTGGACTGGATGGGTCTTTGGCCTGATCCAACATTGGTGTCTCTTATGTTCTTATATGCTACAACTCTCTTCTGTCAACTTCAGTCTCAACTACTAAATTGGATTTCATATTAAACTTCTGTGGCAGAAGAGGCAACCCCTCTTTGATAACGGGAGGTCCAACAGCAAACCAGCACTAAGTTACTAATATCTCTCATGGCTACAAGCTTTGATTTGTCAACTAAAATTTTAGTTATTAATCAGTTAGGGCTAGAATAAAGGCACAATTGTTTATCCCCCCCCACCAATTATTTTGCTTCTGATATTGATTTTTTTTTAAAAATGAATTTGCTAGTCTCCATATTAACATAGGTTTCCAATCCCAGCTCTTGAAGCTACCTAATATTTGTGCACGAGAACCATCACAGCTGGGTCTCCCAAAGGATCTTGCTGTGAAATCTTTAATCAATGTTGTATCATCAATCTTCTTAAAGTTGTTAAAGTAGCTGTTCCTGAGCTACAGATCTCAAGGAAACCCAAAACATTTCTGTACAAACTTCCATACATCCCAAGTAATAAATGACTTACTTGTTTCAGGCACATACTGACCACCTCGAAAATAACAAGCTATTGGTCGATCTTCCACTAAGAAATTACTAAGCAAGGCTTCCACAATTGTCTCTGTCTGTTCCTCAAAGGTCATTGAGTTCTTCATGTTAATGTTAATGTTTCTCTGTATTCTCCTTATAAGTAGCTGTTAAACTTTCAGTAGTTCTGTAGGCGATGGGTTGTACATAGGAGTCTCCAGCAGCTTCTCTCGTTCTTGGTCAGAGTGGGATTGGATCCACAACTAGACCCTGCTATATACCCTGCATGAGGAAGTTATGTATTTTTGCTCCAGCCTGAATAAAAGCACTTGTGCAATACCAGCAAAACAATTCCTACCAAGAAGTTTTCTGTATGAAGTCTGTTGGCACTTCCTCTATGAAGAAAATACAGCTAGGATGAGTCAAAATGCTGGGTACAAAAAGAACTATAACCTATTGCTACTAATATAACTTTGTATTATGCTTGCAGGATGTCTCATAAGGCAACTGATTACATATCTATATTTACGGTCCTTTCTGTTATCACAACTGCATCATCCTTATGTCTACTTCATAATATGCATTTTAAAATATCTACAGTGCTGATTTAGTTCATTTATTGTTCACATTTCCTGTGATTTGTTCCACTGGACTTCTTTCCATCACCTGGAATGTTGGGGACCCCAAAACCCCAAACATTTGACGATTTGGGCATCTCAAAATGTCCTAATAGTCTTTTTGAGCTTTTGGTGCTCATGATTCTGTGACTATGTTGTCCTCTTGAAAATGTAGTAGCAATTTATCCCCTGGAATCAAATAAAGCTGTCTTCTATAAGCTAGTTTCTCCATATATTATATTTTTATCTTGCTTTTTAGCCAAGATTGTTTCACAAAGTAGCTAATGGGAATAAAAATATAATACAAATGCTGAAGCTGAATACAAAATGTCTCTGATGGCCGCCGGAACTCGACGAGGGTAGTCTTGCTTGGAATTGCTCCGACACAAGCTATCATTCCTGGGTGCTAACCTCTCCTAAGGGGTGCTGAGCCCTCGAGTCCCCCCCCCAGCATTGAGGGGGAGAGCAAGAGGCTTGTTTCAAGCGTAAAAGTGTGGGGCAACACTTTGTGGACTTTGAAGCTGCCTTGAAGCAGGAGTACCTGAGGACATCCAACAGAAATGCTGGAGCCAGTTGAGCAGAGGGGCCGCAGCTAGATTCAACACCAACTAGCAACTTATAGGAACATCTCAAGCAATGTTCCCTCTAAGCCATGGAGTCTTGTGAGCAAAAATTTCACTTTGTGAGCTACTGGCATTAAAGTTGTGAGCAAGCAATTTGGCTACTGCATAAATTAGTTTGCTCTGGAGCCATCCTTCCTGAGCTAAGACAAAAAACTGTGAGCCAGAGGCTACAAAACTGTGAGCTAGCTCACACGAATTCAGCTTAGAGGGAACACTGATCTCAAGTCAGACATAAGATAAGTATCAACTATAAATCTTAACTCTTAAGGGGGAAAAACAGCTGCAGTAATTAAGGGAGTATTGTCTTTCTCTCCCCCCCACCCAAGGTGGCGGGCAACTGTACAGACCAATTGGCCATTATAAAATGAAGTCCCAAGTGGTTAGTATACAGTAAGCAAGAGGGGGGTGAAGGGAAAGGAAAGGAAAAACAAACTAACCAGTATTGTGTTTTTTTGTTATCTGAGGAGCCGGAAGGAGTCCGAAGGAGAAGGTTCTTCGAGAGAGTAAGGAAGGTGACTCGAGAGTAAAGAATCTGGTCCCCAAACGAGGCGAAGAGTGAGTGGAGTGGGCGCAAACTGGAGTGGAATTGATGGGTGATGCGAGAGGAAAAGCACCAATTGGAGAAGGAGATCGGGCAGAAGGAAAGCCAAAGGCGGAGCAAGGTGGAGAAAGGCGACGTGACGTGGAGCATAGGGGACGGCGAAGCAAGAGGGCTGAGTGCATTGGCAATGACTGAGCATATTGAAGGGAGAGTTGAGCATTGATGACGTACGGAAGCTAGCTGAGTTCAGGAAGTGGCTAAGGGTGAACGGAGGAGGGGGGGAAATAGAAAGTGGAGGTATAGAAGATCCCAGGCTGAAAGGTAGACAAAGTTCTGTAGAAGAAGCTGAAAGTAATTCTGACTGCGATTATTGTAGTAATTATTATTTAATAGAATATATATATATATGAAAAAGGAAAATAAGAAATAATAAATATTCGGCACATAAAGCTAAGCATTAAAATACAGCAAATAGATAGGTCAACAGAGTGATAAAGGCCAGGTGAATAAATACAGTGAGTATTTGATTTAAAGATATAGACACAGGTACTACTATTGAGAAGGGGAAAATTAAATAATCAATTAATTAAATAATAATAATAATAATAATAATATTTTTTGATTCAGAAAGTAAATATTTAAAATTATAAGGACCTAATCATACAAAGGTAATACAGACTTGATTAATAGAAGAATAAAAATAAAACACTGACCTATGGAAAGATTCCAGCAACTACATTTAAAAAAAGGATCCAGCTACAAATTTGCCTTACACAAATTGAAGCTTACTAAAAAAATAAAAATGGCATCTGGATCAGGTATAAGGAAATCCTCTTTACCTTCACCTAAAACACAAACAAGACTCCAACAAGTGACAAACCCTACAATTACGATTTCAATGGAAGAGCTCAAAGCTGACTTAAAATCTTGGGTTTCAAACATAGTCACGCAGACAGTGCAAGAGACAGTTAAGGTAACAGTAACTCAAGCCATGAAAGAAACAGTTGAAACTATTTTGCCCACGATAATAAAATCAGAAATGGAGCCTATACATTAAAAAAATGGAATCTATATTTGCAGAAACTAAAGCACTAAAGAAACAAATGGTAGAACACAAACAAGAAACTGAAAAAAACCTAAGTCTTTGCGAAAAATAGAGAAGGAAAATAAAGAACTTCAAGAAGAATTTTTTAATTTAAAAGCCAATGCGGAAAGGATAGAACAAACCCTAATTTCACTAGAAACAGATAGAGCAGCCTTTGTGGTTAGATGCCAGAACTTTCCAGAATCAAAAGGGAAAGATCTAAAAGGGGAAATGGCTAAGGTATTAGCAGAAGAATTAGAATTGGGAGCTAAAGAAGAACTGGAGAAAAACATAGACTTAATATACAGGAAAAATACTGCGTATGCAAGGAAAAATAAAACGCCAAGAGAGGTGCATATAAAATTCAACCAAAAAGAATTAAGAGATAGAACTCTGTGGACAGCTAGCCGGACCCAGGTGATATTAGACAACAATGAAGTTAAATTTTTTTAAGACACCCCTTGGAGGGTAAGGGAAAAAAGATTTGCTTATGACAAACTGACCAAACTACTCAGAAAAAATGAGATTCTCTACAGATGGTTACTACCAGAAGGTCTGCTATTTACATACCGAGGAAGAAGATATAACATCAACTCGATTTTTAAAATGGAGAACTTCCTAAAAAGACATGGACAGGATTTAGGAGGACAAAATGAGGAAGAAACACCAGAATCATTGGAGGATGAGCCAGAAGGACCAAGTACTCAACCCATGGTAACAGTAGAAAAACAAGAGTTAAAAAAGAAAAGAGAACGGAGAAAACCGGAAAGAACTTTATCCAATGTTCTAACGAGATTTCAATATAAGAAGAAGGAACAGAAGGATAAAGATGGAGAAGGTAGAGAAGATGGAAAAGTGGCAGAAGATTAAAATTAGTTCAGTCAATGTTAATTGGCTTAATGGACCACAAAAAAAGAGAAAAACATTCCACCAATTGCACAAGCTCAACTCAGATATAACATGTCTTCAAGAAACCCACATCCAAAAAAGTGATGGAAAATATCTTAAAGATAAAAAATTAGGAATGTTGTTTGAGAATCTGGAAAAAACTAAAAAGAAAAAGGGAGTGGCTAGTTACGTAAAAGAATATTTACAGCCCAAACTAGAGTTTTGTTTGGAAGAGGGAAGGGGAATAGCAGTCTCAATTGTCAGACAAGAAAAGAGCTTCTTAATAATAAATATATATGCACCCAATCAAAAACAAGCCAAATTATTTGAAGATATAAGAGAATCTAATTAAATCGTCGTTTGAAGATGTACGTGTGATAGGAGACTATAATGCAGTTTATGACCCAGTAATAGACAGAAAATCTCATAAAATCAAAACTAAAAATACAAGCAATACATTACCAAAGACATTTCTTCATTTAGCTGAAGAATTCTCCTTGATAGATATATGGAGGACAAAAAACATAGAAGAAAAGGATTTCACCTTTTTCTTTGCTAGACATAAAACATGGTCTAGAATTGATATGGCATGGATATCGACTTCACTCATAAAAGATATAGAAGAAACAGAAATTTTATCACCCACCTTTGCGGATCATAACCCAATTATGTTAACCCTAAAAACTAGAAGTAGGAAATCAAGGTGGACAATGAATTTAGAGATTTTAAAGGATAAGGAGATAATAGATAAAACCAAAAATATAATAAAAGAGTTCTTTAGGATTAATACTACTAGGGAAACCCCTGTAGAAGTCATCTGGGATGCCTTTAAGGCTTATATAAGAGGCTAGTGAATTAATCAAAGTACATGGGAAAAGAAACAAGATAACAGAAAATATGATATATTGAAAGTGAAAATACAAGAGGAAGAAAATAAGATAAAATATAATAAGAGGGTTTCAGAGACTATTAGATCTAAACTGAATAAATTGCAACATCAATTTAACTTACTCCTAACTCAGGAGGTAGCAAAAAAAAAAAATAGAAACTAGTAAATTGTATTATTTTGAAAATGCTAATAAGCCCACGAGATGGCTGGCATACAAGTTGAAAAAAGATAAAGAGAAAAGAATAATTAAATCACTAAAAAATGAGAGCGGAGAGGAGAAATTCTCACAAAAAGATATTAAAGAAATAGTAGAGAATTTTTATAGATACCTGTATCAAAACTCAGATATAATAAATAAGGAAGTGCAAGATTATCAAGATAAATGGGGAAAGGGTAAATTTAATAAAGAACAAATAGCAATATTAAATGATCCGATTACACCCTATGAAATAACAGAAGCAATACAAAACAGGGGGAAACTGAAAACTCCAGGCTCAGATGGTATCCCTACAGAGTTTTATCAAATATTTGAAGATCAGATATTAAAACCATTTAAAGAACTAATACAAAATATTCCTAGATCAAACAGAACTCCCACCTCA